TAGAATGGAGTGTTTTGCACTTGGCAAGTAAGTACAGTTTCTTTCATAATCAGACAGCATTGTTCATTAAGATGTGACATGCCTAACTTGGGGGTTCATTATTTTGCTGGATTCCATTTTAACAGGCAGTCCTTCCTGCATGGACAAAGTAACCATTTGACTAAGCAGCTAATTATGAAATCCCTACCCAGCCATTTCCATGGATAGTAATTCATAAATAAATACAAAATAAAATACTTTTTGTCAGAATGAAAAGTAGCAGTTCTTACAAACAACAAAAAAGGTTATTTTTAAAAGAAGTCTTCTGTTCGTCAGACTCTCCTATTTATTTTATTCACTGTTAGTACAAATCAGTAAATTCCACTTTTTTTCTGCCACATTATCTTATTTAACAAAAGTAATAGCTCTTTTTTTTTCTTAATGCATAGTTAATGCATGAGAAGAACTGAAAAAAAAAAAGTTCTATAGTGTCTTAGTATACCTTGTGGCAATATCAATTGCCTAATTTCTATCTATCTGACCTATTAGCACTCCTGAACAATAGGATTTTAAAATTCATGTCTAGAGGAGCGGTAGTAAGTACAGGGACAGAAAGCTTTTAGAAGTGCTTCTTTATAGTTTCATACAGCTCAAATGAGGAGTGAAATAACCCTTAGATGCTTTGCAGATTACTGAATACATGAGGAAACTGATAACATTATGCAAGGATGTTGTTGTGACAGTTAATATCACCCCCGTTGCCAAAATAAGTGTGACAAAGATGGAACACAGTCAGACAGATATGAATAGCAATGTCAATGATTCAAGTAAATTATTTTTGTTTTTGTATATGTAAGTTGCTAAAAAACAGATGTTCCACTTGTAACGTCACTAGATATATAAAAAATAGAAAAGGTACATTTTTTAATATATTTATACCACAAAATTTGGTGCAGGTATGTGTGTGGACAAGCACATTCATGTGCAAGAAATCTCACTGTACGGGATATAAAAATTCAGATCCTTTTCCTAGTTTCTTTTAGCCATAGTTTTCCTTCCATTCATGCTGCTGAATAAAATGTATCATCCTGTTTATTTTTCTTGTTCATAGACTATCCAAGCACATACAGTATCCTTACATTCTGGCCTGGATTAAACAATAGTAGAGAATTTGTCTTTGTGTCTCTTGCAGTAGAATTTTACACTTCAGTTAGTCTAGGGCCAGGTTAGGAGTACATTATCCTCATACCAACTTTTCCTACTTGTTTATCAAGGCAGGAATGAAACACGAAAGGAGAATTTAAAAGAAAAGTATTTCGCTTACCTGAGGTTTACCACTCCAGATTGTTATTCAAATCTGGTTTTCCAAAACAACATTCCAAAACCTGTCTTGATGGCCTGAGAGATACTTTGTTTCAGGCTTGGGGAATTTTTCACCCCATTTTTGTGGGCATTTTGACCTCCACATGTCACTGGATTCAGCAATCTCCCTTAGCAATTCCTATTTACTGGCTGGACAAAATATGTCTACATCTTTTATTGCCCTTGTTGTCTGTTTCTCCTGACATCTGCAATTGTCCAGAAACCATCAATGAACAGAAGACCAATAGAGAATATTCATAACTAATTTCAGATGAATGCTGACAATGTTTTCTGATTTTATCCATTTAGGACCAGTGAAGTTCTAGGGGAGACAGGGCACTGTCTAATCAATCCAACCAAAGTGTTGAGAACTGGAGACCATAGACCCTGTGGTGGGAGCAACGAGGGCAATGCATTTTTCAGATTCATTCCCCAATTCAATGTAAACAGCTGTTTGGAAGGCAAGAATGAGGCACAAAATTCTACATGGTAAAATATAAGCCTTATGTTTTGTATAGCTAAGATAAGGAAAGAGGTACATGAGACGGGAGAGAAAAGCAGCAACTAGAGAGATCCCGAGAAATGCTGAAAAATATGAGGAAAGAGAAGGTGGTAGATCCAGGCTCTCTTCTGTCAGAAACCCTAGCTACTTTTATGATGGGTCAATAGTTGGCAATGAGGTCCTTTCAGTCTCTTGGCAATGGCTGAAACAGTAACCAGCATATTATATTTTTTCTTCATTTTTCTGGAATTTAATTGTGACTACTGACACATACCAAGTAAGTCAGCTATCATTTTCCCAGTGAGGAGGAGGCATGCCAAGCATCATCTTTCACATCAATCTCTGACAGGCAGCAAAAGCAGTTACAAATACTTCCTATCATCAACACCTTGAGGTTTACTAAACCCTCTTAAAAAGTCAGTCAGCATTCAAACAGCCACATGAGAAAGACTAAGTTTAACAGCAAAGGCTTCAATTAACTTATTTCTAGGTTCATATTTGATGTCAATTTCTAACAAACAAAAAACAACAGCAAACAAAAACAATTCACCAGGACTATCAAGAATTTTTAGGGTCATCTAATAAATTGACCCCATTTGCTGATGGGCAACTATTTTTACCATAGATGTTCCTTATCTTCTTTTCACAGTCATTAATGCAAAATCAAATCAGCTGTGTTGAAATTACCTTCTGCAATTGCAACCTAAGATGGTAATAATTACATGAATGACATTTCAGGCCTCATTTGAAACACAGAGGCTGATGTGCTAGGTAGAAATGCAAGAGATTTCAAATTCTTTTTCATTTCTGCTCCTATCTCTTAATCCTGATACTTTTTACAGATCTTTTCTTGTTATACTAGATTTGGTGAACATCTCAAAACTGCATCTGCAATTAATTCAGTCTTTATCTAGCATTTTGGGTTTTTTTTTTGCATTCATAGTGAATAAAACATGAATTTTTACAGTCCCTGACACAGCCACTACACTATCCCCTATCACTGTGGGAATGACAGTTTCCACAGAGATTTCCAGTGGTTGGCATTTGGTAAACACCCCAGAAAAAGCCTTATCTTTAGTTACAGATTAATGATTTATTGATAGTGCTTATTTAGAACTGCCTGTCACTATGTCCTTTGGAGTTAAAACTGAATAAATTGGAGCTGAGCACCTTAAAATCACGTCTCAATTTCCTGACAAACAGAAATCTCCTGAAAAGTAGTTTATTCTGACCCAAACAGTATACAGCTGGACCAGATAAAACTGGAAATAATATATTACTGATGCCACTTATAAATAGACTTCATTGATACTAAAGAATTTAAAATATTACAGAAGTGAAATGCCTCAAAATGACATTATTTGTATTTGATAATGCTACTCAGAATGAGCAACGATCTTTGGCTATGAAATCACCACATAGGTCAATTGTTGAGATAGAGCAGAAGATGTGACAGGCAGACAGAGAAGCCAGAAATAAAATTTACTGCAATAAATATATATCAGTTGGTACTTTGCAATTAGAGATCTTCTATGATTTGTAGTATGTATTTATTGAGGCCTACTTTTACTGAAAGGTTGTTTTTATTGCCATATTCCCACAACAACTTTGTGTTTTGATTCTCTCTGCATTTCATACATATCTGCGTATGCAGCACACAACTGTATTTTCTGCCACCCATATCATCATGTCATTTCAATTAGGAGCACTTAAAACTTTCATATGTTTTCTAATATGCCAGAAGATTTTTTTTTCAAAAGGAAAAAAAAAAGTCGAAAAGGCTTTCAAAATCTGTCCAAAATTTGCTCTAAACCTATAAATATCTCTATATTTATAAAATTGAAAAGAGTCTTATTTGAATACTACTGAATGTAAAAATTCAATACATTTGCATCTTTTCTGTTTTCTAACCACTAGAGCGTTAATGTTTTCTTTCAGTTAACACAATTTTCACTGCTCGTATCAGGTATCTGTTGTTACTTTAAAACACAAGCTCTTTTTTGACAAACAAGTTAATGAAATTATTGCTAATCAGGTAGTTGTTTCCTGCTTCTCTAACAAGTCCATCACTCTAATATCATTTTTTATATAAATCAGCAAATCAAATCATGACCTTACTCTATGTTTAGGTTACAGTAAAGAAGCCATGACTTTCCCAGCTGACATACTTGCATGGATGACAGCAGTCAGGACATTTCATGCTCCCTTAATGCAATTTCTCTAGCAATGCATGCTTAAGGTGCATTTTCTCTCAAATAATGCTGAAATTGTTTGCAAGAGCATCTCAGAGTAACTGTTTTCTTTTTTTTTTCCATGTACCTTTGCAAAGAAAAGAATTCCATTGGCTTCATTTTACTCCCTATTAAAAATATGACAGTGATGGTGCGAATAGACAAAATGAATTTAATCTCTGTCCCCACATATTCAGTAATGAAGTACTCAGAAAAAGTTCTCAAAAGAAGAACTCAGACAGAGCATTCTTAACATTTCCTGACTTTGGAAGTATATTTATCTAATAAGTGCCTTTAATACTATGATTTTAACATAGAACTTAAAAGCAGATATAGATGGGAATGAGTGTTTTTATAGAGCTCAAAATGAACAAGTTTTCACTCACGTTCAAACAGTGACAATGGAGTGTTTGTCCAAGCTGGCATGAAATGCTGTAAATTATGGCCCTCTTGAGTGAGCAGAGACTATTGCCTCCAGGGGAAAGAAGCACAAGAAAAAGGAAAAATGCCAGTAATATATTACTCTTTTTTTCTCTCTTTTCCCTTGTCTTCCTTTGTTTTCCCTTGTCTTTCCTTGCCTTGCCTTGTCTTGCTTTACCTTGCTTTTGCCTTGCCTTCCCTTTTCACATAGCTTTCGTTTGGTTTCCATTTTTGCATTAATACAAGCCTTCTAGAGTCACTGTTTTGCACAGGTTTTTTAATGTAGAATTGTGTGTAGTGCACTCACCTGCTATCATCCCCTCATACTTCAACCTTTCTCTGACTGCATTTTTTGGCCGTGGATCACACCATGCAGTAATTTCTGTTTTATTCTCAATATAAACCTCATATTTCATTGCTTTGTCCAGACAGAAATATATACATTATATATATATATGTGTTATGATCATGCCAACAGTCAGTTCTGAGTAGGTAATTACATTTTATTTATCATCTAAACAAATTAGAGGATG